TTTTTTTTCTCTGTGATTTGTTATGGGTAACTTTATTGAATGTAAGTGCCTTGGAAACTAATGGCATTTTAAAGAATACACAAAGGAAATAGGACCTTAGCCCTTAAAAGCATATTAAGAACAAGAACTACAACAAAAATAACATGAGTAATCTAGGCTTTAACTGTTAAGTGAAAAGATGTAAGTGATTCATTCCACTGGTGATGGTGGTAGTTACTATGCCTTTTGAATAACTAATATGGGCTGGGGTTGTGGCTCAGTGGTAGAGTGCTTGCCTAGCACATGTGAGGCACTGGGTTCAATCCTTAGCACCATAAATAAATAAATAAATAAATAAATAAATAAAATAAAGGTTTAGTGTCCATTTACAACTAAAAATAAAAAATGAAAAAAAAACTAATACAAGGTTTGATAAATTATGAGAGACTGCACAATGGGAAATGGACATTTTGGATGCTATTTTATCTACTGCTATTTTATTAGTTGAATCTTTTTTGGGGGGTGGGGGTTGGAATCTTATTTTCAGCCACTTTCTGATATATCTTAGCACTTTGTATAGCATTCAGTAGGTGGTGGTCAAAAAAACAAAATATCAGACCTTATGATTGTATGTAGATATATGACTATGATCGTATGTAGATATATGACTACATGACTGGTATGATTCTACATCATGTACAACCAGAAGAATGAGAAAATTAGACTCCACTCATATATGATGTTTCAAAGTGCATTCTACTGTCAAGTATAACTAATTAGATCAAATAAAATAAAAAATAAAATTTACAAAATAAGTTAGATTATCTTCACTCTTCTTCCAATTCATGACAAATCTTTACAAAATTATTAAGAGATTAGAAGTAATATTAAATAAATCAACTGTATTTTTTCCCACTCCACTGCATTAGATTGAAAGAAAATACAGTGATTTTTATTTCAAAATTATTATTATATGTGAAAAAAAGCAATATACTAATTTTTGGAGTTTTTCTTTTGGTCTTAAATGTGCTGATCTTACTTCTCAATTATATTATCAACTAAGGATGACACATCATCTAGTTTTTATTTTGTTTTGTTCCTGTTTTTGAGATACTGGGGATTGAACCAAGTAGCACTCTACCACTGAGCTACATACCCATTCCATTTTATTTTGAGATAGGATCTCATCAAGTTGCCTAGGCTGGCCTCAAACTTGTGATCCTCCTGCTTTAGCCTCCTGAGTAGCTAGGGTTACAGCAGTGAGCCATTGTACCTTGCTCATTGTTCTTTTGCATGGCAGTAACTAATTAAGTGACCTCAATAAAATATATCTCAATATATTTTAATACTCTGGGTTCTCTTTAGAATTTACTACTAAAGCAGAGTTTACTATTAGGAGAAGGACACTATTTTTCTTCTAGTCTCAAAGGCTTTCCCTATATGATTGTTTGATCTATCTCCTTTATGAGCTGGATATATAGCACAAATTATTATCTGCATTTACAGTTAAAGAACTTGCAGAAATTGAGGTTTAGCACCCATCCTGCTTAGCTACATCCTTATGAAGAGAATTTATATCCACAGACTTTTAAAAGGAAAATTAAAGAAAATAAAGCATGAAAAGGAAGCAAGGGAACAGGATTTCCAATATAAATCTCTCCCTTTTGAGATGAAGCTGCATAGGGTTTTCCTGGGAAAAATAATAATGTTTTAGGGCAAAAGGGCCTGCCAGAGCCAGTTTCATTGTTACTACATTTAGTCATAACGTGGCTGTGCTGGGAACAACTGAGAACAGGCCAGTTGCCTATTCCTTGCTAGGATGTATTAGATGTAAATAAGACTTGTTGGTTTCAACTTCTTCTTAGTCTGAAATACATTCTCATAAATAATGCTTCTGCTATCAACACCAAAGAAAGGGCTATCTAAATTAATAAGTAAACATCAAGAGTGCTTGAGAGTTTGGTTAGAAGAGGGTTTAACAAGTCCAAATATGAACATTGCCACATTATACTAATAAGCTTGCCAAACACCTATTTTAAAAGGCCTCTTCAAATTCGAATATCTATCATTAGGGATAAATCTAACCAACCCAGACATTATAAATAAACAAACAAGGTCCATTTTTTTTATACAGAGTACATGATACATGAGAAATAAAAGAGAAGAAAATGAGAAAACAGAAATCCAATCAGAGGTTCAAGGGAACAAAATATTAAAAGAGTTTCCTGAAAAAAACGTTCTTTCTCTATAAGTTGTTTGACTAGGATTTTATTTCTTTCCTACTCCTTATCTGGAGAAGACTGAAGCCAGTCACACTGCCAACAATGGCCTCTCTTTTGTGCTAAGCTACAAATGGAATTTGCAGGGGACAAAGGCCTACAGAACAATCCCCACAAAGAAATCCTCTAGTTTTGGGAAGAGAAAAATTCCCCAACATAATTTGCAATTAAAATCTATAAAGGAATTCGTCTTAAAAAATGTGCTGATGGGGCTGGGGATGTGGCTCAAGCGGTAGCGCGCTCGCTTGGGATGTATGCGGCCCAGGTTCGATCCTCAGCACCACATACAAAGATCTTTGTATGTTGTATCAACATACAAAGATGTTGTGTCTGCCGATAACTAAAAAATAAATATAAAAGAAATAAAAAAATAAAATAAAGTTTGGGTTTAAAAAAAAATGTGCTGATTATATAGAACTTTAGAAGATTCATGGGAGTGAGATGAGAAACACAAGCAAGAAATGGCAAGATAAGCAATGCAATGAGTAAGGATATAAGTTCAAAAGAATGAACCATCTGGGTAGAAAAAGTCTTAGAAAAAACCCAGAAACCTGAACAACCAAAATCCAGTGATTTATTCTTCAACTGATGTGACAGTGGAAGTTACCAGCACGAAGATGAATATCTAAAGCTGTTCTAGGTGATCTCATTGTGGCTGTAATCCACTTCATGTCAACACATCACAGATATTCCCTAACTCCTTAATGATTGTGGCACAGAAATTAATTTTTAAATTGTTTTTTGGAGATAGTACGCAATTCCATCTCTCATGCATCCAGACAGCCTTATATTTACTCACAGGAACATTTATTCTACGCTTATGTGAATGGTACGTTTTCCTATAGTAAAAATATTGTATGGAACAACTGGTTCTAGCCAAACACACAAAAGGCTACTGAATTATATTATTCATAAACAATCAGCCTGAGTCATGGGCCCTGGGAATTGAGGACTACATGATTCAGGAAGAATGAATGGGTGGGCAGAATTTTAATCTTTCTTTTCTTTCTAGGGCTGGACCTAAGTCAACTTAAAAAACAAAACAAAACAAAACAAAAACAAAAACCACGACAGATCTTTCCATGTCCTTTCCCTGTCTGCCAATCTTATGTCCTATCTCATCCTTAGTGTCCTCTTGAACTCTAAACCTCCAAGTAGATGTTTGCTTTCACATGGTATTCCGTTTCTAAAATTACTTATCTTTCTGTTCTTCCCCTAATACATACTCACATTGTTAAAAGTAGTTGATATCAACTAGAAGCTAGCACAAAAGCAAGGTAAAAAAACCTAATTCACAAAAAAGTGTAAATGATTGATAGCCTTCTAACATAAAATTATGTTTATGTGAATACATGTGTGTATAAATACACATACATTTATATACAAAGGTATGTACATTATATATATATAAAGGATATATAGGAATATATGTATTTTTCCTTTTGTTTAGACGAAAATGTCTATTAAATCAAATGAATTGGTGAAAATTTGGAAAATATAACAAAATAAAAATGAAAAATTTAAGACTGAAGAAAAACTTTATTATTCAAGAAAGAATGATCGAGTAGGAGGTTCTGCCCAGAAAGTGTGCTCCTCAGCATTAGCCTAAGTTGGTCATGCTTTTTTCACCCCCCTCCTCTGCTTCTGATGTTCTATTTATTTCTTCTTTAAATAATTAGTGATGTAAGGGCAAGAGGCTCTGATCACGGCAGAGTGAAGGTAGAAACTGCCCAATTAGTATGTGCCTACCCATAAAAATGCAAATATATGGGAGAGATACTTTGGGATTTTATTTAAGTCTCCTTGCCCAGTTATTTCGCTGCATAAAAATTTTTGTCATATAATTCTTTTAATCACATACTCTTCAGTACTTATAAAATATAATTAGGTTTCAAATAATCCAATGATTTTATCTAAAAATATTTTTTAGATAAAAAATAGTTACACACACCTTTAAGCTTATTAATTCATTTCAAAGGGTAAAATATATACTGGTGCCTCAAAATGTAAGGAAGAAATGATGAAATTCTTAGCAAACAAATAAGAAAAAAACTTGAAAACTCATATTAAGATTGGTGTGACACTAACTGGGCTTAACAGTAACACAAGGGAGCTGCAAATGTTTAGAATACCTGTCAACTGATTGTGTTTCTCTTTTTACCCTTTTTTACTTTGTCTCTACAGGGGTTTAGTTGTTTATTTTTCTAGCCACTTCCAGGAAAAGGCAAATGGGACTTGGTATTTCTATAGGGAATTGGGGGGTGAAGTGAGGAGTAGTTACTTAAAATTCTCAGCTCAAAAGGTAAAATTTAATTCTCAAAGCTTAAGGAAAAAAAATTAAGAAGGAATAATTTCCAGATTTTTACAACATATATTATGGTTGATTTCACCTGTAGATTTCCTAGTTTAAATGTGTACTTATTCATTTAACATTGTAGATCTGTTCTAAGTGCAAAATGAGGTAGCTGCTCTGCTGCTTGTAGAAAAGGAAAGGCCTCCTGAGTGTTTGTTAGAGAGTCTCCTAAGGGTAATGAGTCAAACCACATTTTGCTGTCTCACCTAACCAGAAACCTCCCAAACTTGTCATTTCCTCCTTCCATTTAAAGGTTGCAGAAAATATTCTTAAGGAGAGATCTTGTTAATAATGGGATTTGCTGATAATCCCCCTCCCCTATTGATTTACATATAAAGTCCAAGATTTGCACCAAGTAGAAGCCAAACCACTTCAGTATGTGTCCCTACCTGCTGTGTCTGTTGTCTCTGAATTGCTCTCACTTTGGGAACAGGGCTCTCTCTGGAGGAAGAAGACTGCTGTCGGGACCGGCTCCCATTCTGCACAGGTTCAGCCACCAGGGCTGCAGATGCCACTGACATGCTCCCCGTACTACGTAAGGATGCACTGTGTGGCAGGGATGGGGGTGCTTTGGCTCGGGCACCTAACCCGGCCTGGTCCATTTTTCGGATTTGGGCCTGCCCAGTACTGTTTTGACGTGGCAGAGCAAGAGGTATGTGTCTGTCTGGCATTGTGTGCCGCCGGGAGAAATCTTCACTCTGAGTGCTACGTTTGGTAAAATCTTCCATGCTGCTATTGCTGGGTCCACTGAGTTTGAAGTCTTCACTGTTACTTTGGCTTCTAGAACTGGCAGTGCTTAGGTTCTCCAAACTGGAATCTACAGAGGCCTTTGGCATTGCTGGAATTGGGTTATTGAGGTGATAGACAGGGTTCTGGAATGACAAGGGCTGGAGACTTCCTGGTTGGTTCAAGGCTGGGTGCAGGGGCCTTCTTACTTGGGGGGCACTCTGGGGAGTGCTCTGAGTTTCCCGCAGTTGTTTGATGCTGGCCACCTGGGTTATGGAAAGCTGACTTCCTGTCAGGCGCATAGGCACATCAAGCATGATAGATGCATGCTCCACCTGAGCAGCATGAGTGTCCTGGAGGTCCATGAGGGAGATGCTCCGACCATTAGGAAGGCTGCTTTCCTTTTCATCCTTTTCAGAATAAGTCATACTCTGGGAGGAGGCCTGCTGAACAAGAAGTAATGTTTTGCCTCTGAAATAGCTGTCTGTATTTTCCTGGCTTGGAGATTTTAGTTTATGCAAGTCACTGTGGATAAGGAAAGGATCCTGGGTTACTCTTGAGAGCAAATTCAACATAGTTAAGATTCTTTAATTTTGGAAACTTTTCTGAAGTTTTAGAAGCTCAATATGGATACCTAAACTTTCTTTAGAAATTCAGGTTTCATCATTACAATTCTTAGAATAAAATCTAGCATTTTAACTTTTTCTTTAAAGGTAGAGAATAATACCCCATCACAATCTTTAGTTTTTACTAGAATTCCAATAATAATCCACTTGGATTTAAATCCTCCAATTTATACTTAGTTCCATTTAAACCTTCAAGAGAAGCAGCTGTGAGTAGACAACCAAAGGGTCCCTGCTAAAGGAACAAACCTTGCCAATTCGGAATAGAAGTCTAAGCAACAATGTTGTATGTACCTGTCTAGTTGACACAATCAGCTATAAAATGGCTTTAACTGATGGTCTTTCAGAGTTTTGAGTGCTATACCACACAAAAACATCAATTTCATAAAATCCCTAATCTTCCATAAAGCACGATATAGATTTTGAATGCATTTACTGAACATAACTCTATACTATCATTCTAAAAAATGTTATCCTATCTTGTGCTTTATAACAATTGGATTTATCTCAAATGATTTTCTTTAATTGCTTATAAACTTATTGCAAATTCAACAAATGAGTCAAAAGAGATTTCTGCTAAATTTAAACATTATCTTTTTCTGAGAGTAGTACAAACCCTCTTTTGCATACCTGTCAGTGGGGTCTTCAAATATTTTCTGCAGCCCAGAGGAGAGGCTTCCACTGACGTTTGGACTAGAGTTATGCTCAGCGAAGCGTCTCAGTTGCTGTTGTATTGGCGTAGGATTAGTCAGGGACTTGGTAATATCAGCAAGAACACGAGGAAGAGGACCCAGTTTTGCCACGGTTGCCTGTAGGAAGGAATTTTCACCCTGATTGGATAATAAGCATTGTGACATCCACCACAGATTGTTTTTGGGACAACGATGCCCATTGATTGGAGGGGTGTAGGTTGAGGGAAGGGTAGGTATTTGCGTATGGGAGTGGTAGGTTCATAATGCATTGTTATGGAGCAGCAAAATCATGGCGTCGAGATGAATGGAGGAGGCGAAACAAGGTGCAGCAGACATTGAGGAAAGAAAGGAAATAGAAATTAGGATTATGCAAATAAAAAGTCATGCTCAAAATAATCAAACTATTGCCATTCCGACTAAAGTAAGCATGCAAAGCAAACTGAATCTTTGGGTAGCTAACAGACCAAGGTGGGGAAGGGGAGGGGAGGAACCAAACACCTTCTAACCAAAAGGAACTTTGAGACCAGAGGACTGGCTAGTGTGATGAAACTTCCAAAGAAAAAGGATCATGTGAGAAAAGAAACTCATGCTGACATACAAGATGCTGCATACAGGGATCCAGAGCACTGCAGGACATGCAGTTAGTTGATACTGCCATCCTCTATCCTAGTCAATCTTGGGAACCCTGACCCATTCCCAGCTGTTTCCATTAATAATGTAATTTCCTTTTTATTTAAACAATGAATAGGGCAAATTCTGTCTATGAGATATTTACTTTTTAAACAGAGACTAAAAAGGAGAAAGTATGTTTATGTATCAAAGCCTGTTAAAAAGCCTTTGATCTTGAATAAGTCAGGACTATTCACAAGATAACCATATATGCAATGAAGTCATTCAATAAAGAAAAATTTTTCAGTATTTGCTTTATCTATCTCAATCTTTTTTTTTTCTTTAGGGAATTTTTCTCATGGGGTCTTATGGGGCCATCTCAACTGTTAGTTTTACATGGCTGCCTTTGGGTGTTCTTTATCTTCTCAACATTCAATAGACTTTTCTGAATGAATTTAATGAATGCCTCTGAAGAATCTCTTTACTTGCTGAATAATGATGAACCATGATTCATAATAAAGAAATTTACCCTGAACAGAGCTGCAACTTAAAATATAGCTTGCATTTCTAAAAATGAAGAATAGGTTCTTGAGAGTATGGAATGGTTTATTGTCTTCTAAACGTTTTAAGCACCAGTGGACACACTCCCATTTATATTTCCTCGGGAAAATGATCTTTGTTAGTAGGTTTTATTCCTCTCTAATTGTTATTAATATAACATTTCTATAATTAATAGGAAAATGGAGGAAAACAATTCACTACAGAAAAATAACTTTGTTTTTTACAATTACTCTAACATACTACTAAACTGTTTTCTACTATAAGCCTGTTCTTTTTTTGTCAAATTCCAGAAGAAAGAAAATGATTGGCATGCTTTACATTTACTTATTAATAGAATATTAACACATAATAACATTCTTTCTGTCAGAAAATAATAATAGATTTATATATTCTTAATTCATATCTGTAGAAAAAATAGGATTTTCATACCCCATAAGACTCAGCACTAATAACTATAAACTTAAACTTGTAGAATAAAAAAATTTTTCATAGGTAAAGCTATAAACATGATAAACAGCATTTTCTATGTCTGTCCTTTTGTTAGAAATTACTAGAATGAAATTTCATATCATCTTATACATGATAAGGATGTATGTACCAATATTTTCTATTAATTTCTAGGCAAGTTTCAGATATGTATTATATATGAATTTATAGAAATATATTTCATTAACTCAGTTAATTATTTTAAAAATGTTAATGATTTCATTATTTTCTAGAATTTCATGGCTGCAGATCACAATATTTGCTCAGCAATGATAACCATTTGCTTTCTGATATCTAGGGCAAAAGGTTGCTTTCAATTAGCAGAAAGGGTAGTGCTCTCATTCCAGAATTCAGATGCACCGAACAGATGCACTATCTCCCAGTTCCCATCACTCATCCAGCCTACTTTACCTTATCAAGTTGGGAAACTACTTCCCACAGTAAGGAATGCAAAACTGAAAGCTCTCGGCCCAGATCAATGTAACCATCAAAGCCTGGGGTGTTTGAGATGGTGTCTGGATTAGAAATCTCCAAGAGAAAGCGCTTCATTCCACCCCATTCATGTTCTAAAAAATCATTCATGAATGCCATGTATTCCTCTTTGTTACCAAACCTGACGCAGAGAGTGAGAAAATGAGAAAGAAAAGAGAGATGATCATTTTAAGTTGACTTTATACAGAGTTATAAAAATTTAAAAAATTGTAGAGATAACAACTCATTTTGTTTTTCTGTAAATGAGAGTACTAAAATATATTTTTCTTTTTTTTTTTTTTTGAGTGGTACTGGGGATGATAGAACACAGGTCCTCCAACATGCTAGGAAAGTGAACTATCACTAAGTTACATCTCCTGCAGCCCTAAAAAATCTAGTTTCTTAATATTTAATATATACCAAAAAACTGAATAGCTTTCTATTCTCACTATAGGGTTAAGCCTAGACTCATTTCCCCCTGCTCTGGTATTTAAAGCTCTCTATGATATAGCCCTTATTTATCGACTAAATGTTCACCAGTGTAAATTTTAATATTGATTGTTTCTTCAAAGTTTCCTAAATACATTATACAGTATTTCACTTCTTCCCCCTTATCCATGGTATTTAGTACAAGACCTTCAATGAATGCCTGAAACTGTGAGTAGTGCAGAACCCTATATATACTATGCTTTCCCCCACACATACATAACTATGATAAACTTTCACCTTTTCATTTAAACACAGCCTCTATAGCTTCTCTTTAGCATCTCTGAATTTCTAACATCAAAACTCTTGTTCTGTTAAGTAAAATAAGGTTACTTGAACACAAGCACTATGATACTTCGACAATCTGACAGCCAAGATGGTTACTAACAACAAGTTGGTAGCAAATACAACATGAATACACGGAACAAAGGTATGATTCATGCCCTGTGTGAGACAGAGCTGGACAGCATGACATCTCCTTATGCTACTCAAAATGGCATTTAATTTTAAACTTATTATTTCTGAAATCTTTAGTTTAATATTTTTGAATCATGGGTGACCATGGGTAAAACTAAAACCTTGGAAAGCAAAATCTTGGATAAGGGGAAACTACTTATTCTTTTTCTTCTTTAAGCCTTTGGTTGTGTTCATTATTTCTACTAAATAGGTTCTAGCTATCTTCGGAGACTATTTAAGTCTATAAAAAAACTTGTTCAAAAATAATCTAGAAATAATTTTTTTATCAGAATTAGCTCAAATATGGGTAAGTATACTATATTTCTGCTTTGGCTTATATATACAGGGTACACAAAATTAAAATAGTGGACTTATAAAAAAATCACAATTTATACTAAAAAAATCCTGTTTCATTAAAGTTTTAATTATTTTCTTCAACATACTACTAATAGAAACTTGTTTTTAAGCCTTAATATTAAATACATCTATGATCAATTTTGCAAGTGTGAATTCTTTTCCAGTTATTTTTAAAACTTATTTTCAATAAATTATAAAACAATACAAACTTACTGAAGAAAAAGTTAAAAACAATGAAAAATGTTTCATTTTTCTTTCTTCAGAAAGATAAATTATGGGTACATCCATTTACCTACTAAAACATATCTGCTATTTACATATAAGTACAATTATAGTCTCCTAACTTTTTAAATTTTTTTTTTAAAAAAAGGTTAAAATACACAATGAACACTATATATCTTTCATCTACATTAACCAAATGTTAAAATTTTGTCAAATTTGCTTTCACTCTTCTCTCTCTCTATATTATGCTATTTTTTTGAACTGTTTTAAACTAAGTTATAGACATTATCACCTCTGAATACTTAGCATCATTTTATTCAGAAAAAAGGAGTATCTCTACATAAGCCAATGCCATCTTCATACTAAAACTTTAAAAACATGATTTATGAATCATCTACAGTCCATATTTAAATTCTACCAATTGTCCCCCAAATAATGTTTACAGATTTTTTTTCAATTTAAAATCCAAGTTTTGGTCTGGGACTGTGGCTCAGCAGTAGCACACTTGCCTTGCATGTGTGAGGTACTGGGTTTGATTCTCAATACCATGTAAAAATAAATAAAAATTCATCTTACTGTTCTTCCTTAGATTCTTGTGTTTTCATATTGCTAGAATTATAACATATGTATCATGTTATATATCGTCCTTTTTTTTAGTACTTTTCACTGAATTTTATCTTCAACATTTTCCATATTTTTGTTCTTTGAAAACAATGTTTTAAGTGGCTATGAATATTTCACTGAATGTGTATACCATGGTTATTTAATATTTACTTCCAATTTTTTGCTGTTTTTCAATTTTTATTGATAACAAAAAAATCTGGTAATAGGGAGTAATGAGGCTCATCAGTCTGATCCAAATTTTAGGACTCATGTTATTTTTTTTAAAACCATGTGTTTTTAGAGTGGTTATGGTAGGTAGCATCACCTACTTGGCAAAGTTGGCCAGGTTCTGAATGACCTTGGCAATAAGAGTTAGAGTCCGAGATGTACGGTCATCAGGATACTCTTGCATAAGGTTGAAGAGACTGGGAGACATAATGGCTGGGCAAAGAAAACGGAGAAACAATGAGGCACTAATGAGCCGCTCACTGATGTCTTGCTTGCCGCGGTTCAGGCACTGCTGTTTCCATGATGCAAACACTTCTTTCAATTCACGAGGGAAAACACTGGGGAAGGAAAAAAAAAATCAAAAACCTCTAAATACGAAAATACCATAACCCATGAAAGCACAAATGATCCCACTCTGACTCAGCCCACCTCTGTATTACAGTCAGGCTATAGGAAGACCTAGGAGAGACGCAAAGATGAGGATCTGCCCAATTCATGGCAGAGAGGTGGTGAGGAAATCACAGAAAACCAGATGGAGACTGGAAACTGGAAACTACAAAACTCTGAATTAATGTATATTTAGTTTTGCAAAAAGGGTAAATGTCATGAGACTCCTGATGAAACCATCTAGTTTAGTACAGCTTACTGTGATTTCTCTAAAGATTGTTCATCAAAAATCTTCCACAATCTCACCAATTTCTGGGGGTACAGCAATGACTAAAATTCATGAACACAGCTATTCAAGATTAGAAAAGCTAGAAAGCTAGAAAAATACTTTGGGTTTTAGAGGATGTAGAATTAAAATTATGGGAAAGATTATATAGATAGTTCAAAAGTACTTCTCTTATGAACTGTTAGAAGAAAGGAAATAAACATTTTAATTTATATACATTTATCAAATTATCCCCAAACCAGCAAGACAAACATCAGTGCCCACATTCCTCAATCTCAAAATTGGCCATTCTGAATACTTATTTTTTCTATAATTGAAATTTTTATTACTATAAAATTTTAATATTTTCTGCATTTGAATTTAGTCTTTATCCATTTTGTGGAAAGTGGCTGTTTTTAATAACTCATGCTATTTATATTTTACAGATTTAGGCAAACATAAATCTCCACTTCTAAACTTTATAATTGAGATCTGAGTTTCTTTCAACAAAAACAACAAAAAGGTAAACTGTGCATTGTATTTTGGTTTTCTTTAACAGTTCTTTATTAAAGAAGAGTGGAGCTTTCAAGGATCCTTCTATTACTTGAGGTTCAGGCTAGTTATAACAATTCTTAAAGGTGTGCAATAATTCTTACAAAATCAATAGGAAACAATTTTTATATCAAAATTGTTAGTACTAAGGTAAATGAAAGCTTTTAAAAACTGTGAGGTCTGCTGAAGCATACCATCCTGGATGGGTATTTAAACTCCCAGTGAAGCACAGTGTACTAGGTGGTCAGCATCCTTCTAGTTATTTGTTTTCTTCTTCTAATTTTAACCTTGAGATAGCACCGGAGAGGTCAAATGTTAACCCTTCAAGAAACTCCAGAAGGCCTTCTTCTGTCCTATTTTCTATGCCTCAAGAGCAACTAGCAAAATGATGTTTATTTTAATGGTTGAACCCTTTGTACACTCCCCTTCAAGAAGTAATATTTCTCGTAGGCTGTGGTGGTGCATGCCTATAATCCCAGTGACATGGATGTAGAGACAGGGGGATTGCAAATTCAAGGCTGGCCTCAGCAACTTAGCAAGGCCCTGTCTCAAAATAAAACATATAAAAAGGACTAGAGACAGAGCTCAGTGGTGAAGTGCCCCCAGGTTCAACTTCAAATCCTAGTACCAAAAAAGAAAAAAAAATGTTTCTCAGCATTTGCTTCTCAATGGTTATCATTAGTGTCCATGGATTGAACTAGGATCTGTTTTTCTCTTGTGTTCCCCAATGTTCCTCTCCCCAAATCCCTTTCTTTTCAATATTCATGCATTCTCAGTGGGCAAAGACATCAATGCAAATTTAACATTAATCATGTTTGTGTGCTAAGGACACACAGATTTTTCAGTAAAATTAATTGTGGCAAAGCTGAAAATAAAAAAGGAGAATATCTGCTTAAAATGGAGATTTATATTTTAGGAATATATTAAGGTAACTTTCAATTTTTCCCTTAAGTCCTCCCTTTGTGATGACTTTTATATGAAGAAACTTAAGTTCCACGAGCAAGGGTCTACCATGGACACCAGCTCACCAGTACGAGTTGATGATCTTGCAGAAAGCCAGTTCACAGCACATTTTTAGGTTGCTTTGATGGTCTATCAGTTCACTAGATGAACATTTGCTAGGGTCCACTTCACAGTTCTCATCCGATTCATACAAAGCTTTGATGAACTCCCCTATTTGAGGAGAAAAGGTGACAGAAAATATAACTATATTTAGTATCTTCCTGAATAGGATAAAAGGATTTAGGATTTCTGTCCTAAAATCTATAATGGGATTTTTTTTTCCTCAGACTTCATATGGGAAGCACAAAAGACTGCTCACAAAAGTTCACTGTTTTGGAACCTAATAGTTCTCATATCCCACATACCATGTTTATTTTCTTTAACCTGGAAGTAGAATAATAGCAACTACTAACATCATCAATATAGTATTTATAAAAATAGTAACAATATGACTTTAAACAAGGTAGTTATCTTTTACTAGAACCCACAAATAAATTAGCACAAACCTGTAATTTGTTATAAGGCTACCTTTACCAGAGAAACTAATTATCGTAGAATAACAACCCGAGCCAGATTGAATAGCCCACCTAAGTAAGGTCCTAGGGGCCATGTGGGTGCCAAGTCTAACCCTAACCCTAACTCCAACCCCACAGAGGTAAGTGAGGCTCTCTAGACCTATTTCTTATAATGGGGACAGTCATTTAATCTGGCACAAATTATAGCAGGTCCCTTTTTATATACCCTAATGTTTTTCCACAGAAACTTAGCTTAGAAGCCCTTATACAACCTATCCCATATAAAGCTACACCTAGTATTCTCCAAAAGAACAAATCATTACCTTACCTGTTCATCCTTTACTACATACTATACCTGTATGCTTATAGTGTTCCAAATTTTATACTGTTTTGTGCTTATTTATTCATTTCTGTCTCATTTCTAGAATGAATATGCTTGGAGGTTAAGAACAAGCTTCGAATCATGTTCAAATCCCTATCACCTTGAATAGCTCTTGAAGCATTCTAATTTTAACTTTGAGATAGCACTGGGGAGGTCAAATGTTAACCCTGCATGAAACTCTAGAAGGCCTTCTGGAGCTCAATAAACATTTTTTTTGGGGGGGTGTACTGGGGACACTCGACCACTGAGCCACATCCTCAGTCCTTTTTGATATTTTATTTAGGGACAGGGTCTTGCTGAGTTGCTGAAGCTGGCTCTGACCTCACGATCCTCCTGCCTTAGCCTCCCCAGCTGCTGGGATTACAGGCATACACGACAGGGCCTAATTTCAAAAAACATTTATCAGAGATGGCAGGATGTATTCTGGTTTTCTTTAACAGGTCTTTATTAAAGAGTGGAGCTTTCAAGGATCCTTCTATTATTTGAGGTTCAGGTTAGTTATAACACTTCTTAAAGGTGAGCAATAATTCCTACCAAATCAAGTAGCAGTAGCAATAGGAAACATTTTTATATCAAAATTGTTAGTACTAAGGTAAATGAAAGCTTTTAAAAATAGCTATGACAGGATGGGAAATGAAAATTTGGAAGAAACATGCTTAGAGAATAAGAAGCAAACTGATATTCAGAAAAGGTGGTGGTGAGAGACAGAGGTTTAATTTCATTTTGTTACATATGGATTTCCAATTTTCCTAGCTCCATTTGTTGAGGAGGCTATTTTTTCTTCAATGTATGTTTTTGGTGTCTTTTTCTAGTATGAGATAATTGTATTTATGTGGATTTGTCTCTGTGTCTTCTATTTTGTATCACTGATCTACATGTCTATTTTGGTACCAACACAAGGCTATTTTTGTTAGTATTGCTCTGTAGTATAGTTTAGAGTCTGGTATTGAGATGCCTCTTGCTTCACTCTTCTTGTTAAGAATTGCTTTGGCTATTCTGGATATTACCCTGTCCACAAATCAACTCAAAAGTGGATCAAAGACATGAGAATGGAGACCCTATGTCTAATACAAGAAAAAGTAGGCCCAAATCTTCATCATGTTGGCTTAGGACCTGACTTCCTTAACAAGACTCCTAAAGTGCAAGAAGTAAAATCAAGATCCCATAAATGGGATAGATTCAAACTAAAAAGCTTCTTCTCAGCAAAGGAAACAATCAATAAGATGACGAGAGAACCTACAAAATGGAAAAAATCTTTACTACACACACACATCAGATAGGGCATTAATCTCCAGAATATATAAAGAACTCAATAAATTCAATACCAAAAAACCAAATAACCCAATCAATAAATGGGCTAAGGAACTGAAAAGACACTTTATAGAAGAAGAAATACAATCGATCAAAAAATGTTCATTGGGTTGGGGTTGTGGCTCAATAGTAGAGCGGTTGCCTAGCATGTGTGAGGTACTGGGTTCAATTCTCAGCACCACATAAAAATAAATAAAATAAAGGTCAATCAACAACTAAAAAAAACTTAAAAAATGTTTATCATCTCTAGCAATTAGAGAAATGCAAATCAAAACTAAGATTCCATCTCCCTCTAGTCAGAATGGCAATTACCAAAAATACAAGCAATAATAAATGTTGGTGAGGAAGTGGGAAAAAACATACACTCATTCATTGCTGGTGGGACTGCAAATTAGTAAACCACTATGGAAAGCACTATGGAGATACCTCAGAAAACTTGGAATGGAACCACCACTTGGCCCAGCTACCTATCCCACTCTTCGGTTTATACCCAAAGGATTTAAAATCAGCATACTAGAGTGATGTAGCCACATCAATATCTATAGCAGTTCAATTCACAATAGCTAAACTATGGAACCAACCTAGATGCCCTTCAAGAGATGAATGGATAAAGAAAATGGTACGTATATACAATGGAATACTACTCAGCCTTAAAGAAGAATAAAATTATAGCATTTGCAGGTAAATGGATGAAACTAGAGAATATCATGCTAAGTGAAATAAGCCAATCCCCCAAAACCACAAGCCAAATGTTTTCTCTGACAAGTGGATGCTGATCCATGGTGGGGCAAGGGGATAGGAAAGAAACTTTGGTTTGTGTTGAGGGGTATGAGTATGGGGCTGTAGAGATTGGAAGGATGGTAAATGAGACAGACATTTATTACCCTATTTACATGTATGATTACACTACTGGAGTGACTGTGCACCATGTACAGCCAGAGGAATGAGAAGTTGTGCTCCATTTGTGTAAAATATGTCAAAATGAATTCATGTATAACTAATTAGAATAAAAAAAATAAAAAATAAAAGGTGGTAGCACATAGAAAAAGTAAAGGCTTTGCAGCCAGACACATTTGGGATCAAAATCCTGGATCCACTACTTAGACAAGGAAGCCTTGAAAATAATCAGAGCCTAACTAGGTGCTTAGGTTGTTTAAATGTAAGTTTGTGTCCAGAATGTTCTATGACGTGTTCTTTATGAAAAGCATTAACTATTACCTAGCACTAACATTTCATGTGTTAGGAATAGGTTAAAAGGTATGGATATAGAAATCTGCTTTTATCAATTTTCACCAGGGTGAAAATTGGACCTTTTGAGGGACTTATTTCATGTGTCTCACAGATGGTATTTCCTGTGTGTCATAGGACACCAACATGAATCACTTCAATCCAGTAGGTAAAGGGGGTTAACAGATGGAAGATTTAAACCTAAATGAGGCAGAGACCATGCAGTAAAGAGTAATGCTTTTATTCAGATAAATGAAGACAGGCTAAAGAACAGGTTGACTGGCAATATCAATCCTCTCTGAGAATTTTTCAAAGACAGATGCATCTATTTTTTTTGTTCAAGGTGTATGAAATATAACAAAACTTTGGGAAGAAGACAATCCAACCCCTGTTTTGAATAGGTTGCCAATTGTTTCTGTTTATGTTCTTAGAAGCAGCAGCCATTTTCAGCAACCTGTTTCTTAGATAACAGGTAAGGTAGCAGAGATCTTGGAGGGGTTACCTGAATTTCTTCCCGTGTTTACTGAACTATTTTCATGCCTCATTGAGTTAATCAGATATTTAATTATTCACTGTCATATCAAAGGACTTGTATCCACAATTCAATTTGGAAATTATTTCACTCAGAAATCCTGTCCCACATTGATTTTTAGAATATGAATATCTGATTTCAAAGGAGGTAGTCAACAAATTTCACCCCTATGTCCTTTGAATGGAGAATATTGTTTGAGGTGTCTCGTTGTTGATTTGTATAAGACAACAGAAATTAAAGTGAACCATGACATATAATTTATGATTGTAATAAGCTCTTTATGTAAATGAGACTAATAATCTTTCAGTACCTTTCCTAATGTTAGTGAAAATCCATCTATTACTCTCATCAATTACTATTAGACCTTAAACTGCAGTATGCAACTAGAGTTGAAGATAAGTAGGAATGCTCTCTACTGTTATCTAGGACTTAGTGTTTCCCTGGTTTTCTTTCTTTGGCATTCTCTCTCTGATCTTTTGGATTCTTCTTCTTTCTTCTACACCATAAACCCAGAGATCTGTGCACTGTGAGATCTGTCTTTGGCTCATGTGTTTTCCTGCTCTGGTAACCTCATAGATTCATTTTTCCCCTTCACATGGGTAAGTTAGGTCCAAATTTCCAACAGCCAGCTAGACAGATGTCCTGGCTTGCTTTCTTACCTAAAATCCCTGAGATTTCCTACCAGAACTTCAAATAACAGTTCCTCTCTTCCAAACCAACTATTTCTATAATTTCTGTTAAGAAATCTCATCATACCCCCCCACATTCTCAAAGGTCCAGAATTCTAGATAACACTTGATCCTTCTTACTTCCTACTTTTCCATGAACCGAAAAAGCTGCCAAGTCCTATCAGTTCAACTTTAACATTTCTCATATCCATCTTTTCTCTATTATTATTTGCAGAGATTGCCTCATTACAATCTCTTTATTTCTTGCCTTGCTTATTACAATGGCTTCTTATAGTTTTTAAAATATTTTTATTTTAGTTGTACACAATACGTTTATTTTGTTTATTTATTTTTATGTGGTGTTGAGGTTTGAACCCAGGGTTTCGCACATGCTAGGCAAGTGCTCTACCGCTGAGCCACAACCCCAGCCCCAGGCTTCTTAACTGATTTCTGCATTCAGTTGCTTTCTTTGTCAATCCATCTTACATTAATTTCATTGAAATTAATCTTACATTAATTAATCTTACATTAATTTCATTGAAAATAACATACTCGAAACTTTCAGTTGCTTTCTAATGATTCCTACAAAATAAAAATCTTTAATTAGGATCTGAAAATACTGGCTCTAATTATTTTCTAATTGTTTGTTGTTGTTCACTTATCTCTTTCATGTCCTTTTGCCACTTAATGGTTTATTCCGTAATGCCTGATTCTTTCACCTCTTTTTTTTTTTGGTACTGGGGATTGAACCCAGCAGTGCTTTACCACTGAGCTATATCCACATTCCTTTTTTATTTTTTATTTTGAGACAGGGTTTTGCTAAATTGCTGAGGCTGGACTCAAACTTGCAATGCTTCTGCCTCAGTGCCTCAGCTTCCCAGAAGCTGAGATTATTGGCTTGTGTCACTACGTCCAACTCTCTTATCTCTCTTTTTGTTCATGCAGTCCCCTCAACCTCCCATGCTAATCCCTGTCATTGCTCTTGCCCAAAGTATGTTTACAACCTTCCTACCATTCTAGGTATACACACACCATAAGGGAAAGTTTACATTCTGTCAAGTTGAAATTAATTTTAAAAAATTATTTGAGAAAACAGGATTTCTCTTTCTTTGGTTACTGGGAAAACTCTTATTTCCTATATTGTAAGATCCTTAAGAACAAGAATCTCCAGTCACCAACATACCTTTACTAAGTGTAACAGAAATGCGGCACCAGAAATGCGGCTAGTGCAAATTAAAATTTTCAGTAACTGTAAACTATTCACTGAATTTCAGAATATGAAGACTATAAGATCCCTCATCAATAATTTCTACATTGATTAGTTAAGTTATATTTGAATACACTGGGTTATATAAAATATGCTGTTTATTTAACCTGCTTCTCTTTATTCTTTTTATATTAAGACTACTAGAAAATTTAAAATTACTCCAAAAATGAATATATAACATCACTCACATATGGCTCACTTCATGGTTCTATAGGCCACCAATGGTACACACCACAGAGCCCAGACGGTGCCCTACTTCTAATAGTTAATGACTGAGTTCATGACCAAGTCTGAAATAAGTGAGCAGCCAAGTCAATAAGAGCTAATGATTGGACAAAAATCTGTTATGTTAAAAAAAAATCCACCTGGGTGTGGTGGTGGAACATTTATAATCCCAGTGACTCAAGCTGAGATAGGAGGATCATAAGTTCGAGGCCAAAGTGGACAATTTAGTGAGATCTTGTCTCAAAAAAGAAAACAAAACAAAACAGAGGGTTGGGAGGTAGCTCAGTGTAGGGCACCACTGGGTTCAAGCCCCAGTAGCACAAAAAATAAGCCAACAAGCAACAACAACAGAAAATTCTAGACCTTGAAGTCAGAAATTTGGAACTATAGGCTGGCAAGAGTTTCTTCAGTTTTGATTAGAGGTTTGTTATGCATGATAACAAATGTTAGGCTAACTCTTTTAAGAATTAGGTAATATATTTGTACTATGATTTAAAACTCACCACTTGGGGGAAATAGGCCACCTCTCGTGTAGTAGTAACACCCACTAATATTGTTATATGTAAAAATCAGGAACTTAGCTGCATATACAGAAGGGCTATTTCCACCCATACTGTAATAAACTGTTTTCCTGAAGAGACTTCTCACAGCTGAAACTAAAACCTTAAAACTCTAGTTAGCTAAACTAAATAATTTATCTCATGAGGGTGAAATAAGTTAAAACTAAAAGGGAAAGAAAACAGATATTTTCCTTTTCCATACCCAGTGCATCATGAAGATACTGTTGTCCCACTAATTTGAGGTATTCCTCAATGGATTTGGTGGCAATGGTGTTCTCTCTGAAGATCAAAACATCGTGCTCTCCACAACGATCCACCTCAGACATCACCAAGTCGGTCAGAAAATCCTGGAAGAATAATGTTCAATCAGGCAGAAAGTAACTGAATAAATAATATACATTAGAAGAGACTAGCAAAATATCTGACATCCTGGAATGCAGCTCTAAAACTTAAGCTACCAGATTCACTGAAAAGAAAAAAGGCACTCAGGAGAAAAATCTTACGTATCACTACCCCTAAGTTTAGAATTTCTTCAGAGATTTTCCATTGTACTTTTGAAAAACATCATAATTCTAAATGCAGTATGTCAGTGTCTATATTTCCTGGTATCTATTTTCCAGCCTCATCTACCAGGAATCTCTACATTCTGTTCCAGCATTAGCATCAGGGGCCTTTTCTTCCTCTTCCTCTTCCTCTTCCTCTTCCTCTTCCTCTTCCTCTTCTCTCTCTCTCTCTCTCTCTCTCTCTCTCTCTCTCTCTCTCTCTCTCTTTCTTAAGGTCCTTTCATAACACCAAATCTTTCTAAATATAATGTTCTCTTTTCACCACAAAGCCTTACAAATGCTGTTCTCAGTTCTGCTCCACTCTCACCCCCTTTGTCATAGAGCTAATTCCTGGGATCCTTGGGCTCTTAGTTTACACATAGTTTCCTCAGTGAAGACTTCCCTGACCAACACTGCTCCTATGCTTCCACTAATCAGGTCTCCTTGCTCCACACTCCTATAGTAAGTGCTACGTATCTTTTTGTCCTCTGTACTTCTCATTGCAATCTCACATTTATTTCTGTAATCATATGTTTTCATATGATTCATGTTTTCCTCAGAAAACTGCAAGCCCCATGAGGCCAAGGATAGGGTCTGTTTTTGTTCACCACCATATCTCTAGCACCTAACAGTTTGTGACACATAACAAATGTTCAACATATAACGTCAAATTGGCTCACAGTATCAACATGGAATTTCTTGAATTCATCACTTGAACTCACTTTCTAGGCTAACTACCCATATGTCTGCCCAATCACCCATTCACCCACCCATCTACCCATCCATCCATTCATTCATCCATCCATCCATTCAGAAGGGCATGAGAAGAAATAAAGCCCTGAAATAACAGTCTCTTCCTTCCTCAACAGTCTTAAAAGAACCTAATGCAAAATTCAGTGTTTATTATTGTTCAGTTGGAAATGTGATAACATCAAATATTTTAAATGTTAATATTTTGAGGATATTTCAAGGGCTCCCAATCAAAAGAGGGAATATGCTGATTTATAAAATTAGACATTTTAAACATTAATGCAATTTATTCTGGAGCAGGTCAACAATATATCAAGAATGGTGAACTTAGGAATCACCTTTAAAATTTATGGTAAGGGGCAAAATGAACTTTTAATGATGATGGCAACATTCTGTGTCTTGATTAGGTGGTAGTTTCAATAGGTACATAATCTGTCAAAACTCACAGAACTTCTGCACTTAAAATGGGTGTCATTTATTGTACATAAATTGTATATTATTTGTTTAAAAAAAATCTCATGTACATCTTGAACCTTCAGCAACTAAGAAGTAGAAAGAATAGATCCATAAAATTTCTGACTCAAAATTTCAATGACACCTCACCCCAACTCTTAAACGTTTTTTTAACAACAGAAAGATCAACATTTTGAATCAGTAAATTTAACCATAAAAATTATAATCAGCAAGAAGATAATCAGTTAAGAAACTAAATATCTAACATATTGATACATTCTGACTTATATCAAGAAATTTTAATTGCACTTTATTTTACTGTTTGGTTCTAAATAAATCACTGTAGGAGTGAACATCTATGGATTTAAAATATAATCTTACCATGACCAGTTTGCTTATAATACCTTGGAGACTCAGCCCAATTAAGATTTAAAGGTCGAATAACATAAATGTGACCGATAAGTCAAAGACTCCATTAACTGGTTGTTGTTCTTACAATTAGCATATTTCTTTTTTTTTTTTTTTTGACTTTTACTTTTGTATGGGATAAAATGAGATAAGGCTATTATGAAACAGCCACCAACTGTATAACATCCCTTGGTATTTTTATCCCAAATGAAGATTTTAATCCCATGAGTACTCTTGCTAACACCCAGCACGCTTCTTGAATACCTCCTTTTGTGCTTAAGGGCTATAGACATCCGTTAATCTTAAAATATAGTGGGGAAGAAAACCACTGTATGACACTTTAGAACTAAAGATAAGGAATCTGAACACACTGTGGGATTATCATGTCAATCATACCATTTATTTTACCAGATAATAAAGAGCTGGTTATGGTATCTGTCTTTCATGAAAATGGACTTTTGAATATTTATTGGTTCCTCCATTTTATATTTTAAGTTTTATAAATCCTATATTTTCTGAATCTAAGAACTGCTAACAGGTTCTTTCTTAACTCTTATTTCTCCTTTTCTTTTGTGACCAATAACAATGCACATTTCTCTAATTTGGATCTCCTCAGCATCCATATCTTCATCTCTTTGTAGACGTTAGAGAAAAGCTTTCAGGTATAGGTAATGCAATTTCCCTTTTCCACTTACCTTGGCTCTGCCAGTACTTTGAAGAATGTGCACTAAGGCACAAGCCAACTCCTCTTTATTTCTCACACTAATTACTGGCTCTAGGACAGAACACAGCATGGTATAGTTGCTGGTGACAAATTCTGCAAATTCTTTGTATTGCTCCATAGGCAGAATGGTGATAGTTTGGAAACGTGACTTAATCCGAATAGAAGGTCCCCCAGTCTTTCCTTTGTTGGGTGTAGGTGTACTCACTGGATACCACTTTTCTACAAATTGGCGACCAGTCACGCTGGCAGTGGGGATGTTGACTAGCCCTACATAATTATTCTTGTCCTTTTTTTTCTTTTTTTCCACATCCTTATAAATGTGAACTGTGATGCTATGAAGAGGTGGAAGGCTGTAGAATTCAAAGTGTTCTCCCCAGAAAATATTGTCTGCTTTGGTCTTGCTGGTTGTACGAGCAAAGAGGGTATCATCAAGGCACAGTTCACAGAAATATTTCTTTTTAGGGGCAAGATCCTTGGCTTCGATGATCCATAAACGGAGAACATTTTCAGCTCTTCTGCAGTTGTCCTACAAAGAGGCAACAAAATTGAATTTGTGAGCTGATATCTCAAAAGAACATTTTCCTCTTAAAGTGATGCCGATCATATACTCTATTAAGAGTAGACAACAAATAATGAAATTATTTGCTATCTCATTACTTTAAGATAGTAGCTAGCTCAAACAAGAATGTCTTCGAATCTTAGGGAACCACATATATTCTATTTAACTTGTGATGAAAAAATTATCTTGTAATAGTAAATTCTCATTTAGCCAAACTAGTAGCAACTGGATTTGTTTCTATAAATATAAAACAGATGTGTAGTTAACAAACTTGTGTTCTAATTCCACTTCTATTATATACTTGCTTCTGACTTGGGCAGGTCACTTAACTTTTCTGAGTGTTCTTATCTACACTGGTAAAATCATAACAATAATATCTGCAGTAAAATTATTTTTAGACTGAAATGTCATAACAGGCACATACACTTAAAAACTGTTAAGCTTTATAAAAATTAAGATGTTATCACTGCAGCTATCTTCTATCAATTTAATGCTTACAAAGTGGGTTTTTTAGACACTCAAAGTCACTATTACCTTATTTGGCTGAACTGTCCTTCGAAGGTTTTCCATCCACTTATCTCTCTCTGAAGCAGAGTTACAACTGAAGCATTTACTTCCACTTAAGTAGGTGACCTTCAACATAAAGATTAGAAATAAGAAAAAGAAAGTAAGACTCTTTTTTTCCTAGTTATATCATTTAAGAGTTAGGGATACATCTGAACCTAAAATACTGCATGAAACTAAAATGATCTTTGCTAGTGGAAGTTCATTATGTCTAAATCTATACCTGCCTTTTGACTTGTTCTCAAGGTAGCATCCACACCTATTTCCAGGTATGGAAACAAAGGCTATTTAGAATTCAGCTGACCTAGGTTCAGAAAATTCAAAATAAAAATCTTTCAGGCCACATCTTAAATTATCTGCAAATGAGTAGTCTCAATTCTGTTAAATAAGTTAATAAAAGGAAGAGAGTTTCACAAAACAGTTTATCAGCTTTCTCAAATCTGCCTTTGCTATAATATTATAGATTGCTACTAAATGAAATTAAAGAGAGTGAATAATATTGTATTACTGTCTTTGGAATCCATTGCTCTTCCATAATTCAACCAGCTAGCTGATTTCCAGTCATTTATTAGGTTAACCTGACCACTACCATAACTATCCTTTAAAAATGAAACATCCTGGGCTGGGGTTGTGGCTCAGAGGTAGAATGCTCACCTCACATGCGTGAGGCACTGGGTTCGACCCTCAGCACCACATAAATATAAAATATCGTGTCTACCTATAACTAAAAAATAAATATTAAAAGAAAAAGGGCTGGGGTTGTGACTCAGTGGTAAAGTGCTTGCCTAGCATGTGTGAGGTACAGGGTTTGATTCTAAGCATCACATATAAATAAATAAATAAAGATAAAGGTCCACTGACAACTAAAAAAAAAATTGAAAAAAAAAAAGAAGAAATATCCCATCTATTTGCCTACCACCCAACACTGGGCTTAGTATACAGTCTGTTAAATTGAGTTCCATAAATAAGGACAATTTCAATGATTTTTATTAAAAAGAACATTAATAAATGACCTGCCCAAATTGCTGAAGTTTTCTCACACATTAACTCAATCTCAGGTCATAATCATGTAAATCAAATTAGATTATATGTTCTGATATGGCAGGTACTTGCATGGTGTGTCTGAGTACCTGAAATGTGGCTGATCCAAATTGAGCTGTGCTGTAATTATAAAAACTTCTGATTTTGAAGATGTAGTATTAAAAGTAGAATATAAAAATATCTCATTGATAACTTTATATTACATGCTGATATGAGAATATTTGGACTACATAAAATTTAAAATTATATATGTAGCTTACATTATATTTCTTTTGGGCAGTGTTGGTTCATAAGGACAGGAACCAAATATCTTTCAATTTCTACAATATCTAGCATAGGACTCAATTAAATTCTAACCCTAATAATTACTTACACAATCTCTCTCTCTCTCTCTCTCTCTCTCTCTCTTTCACACACACACAAACACACACACACACACAATATTCACATTTAACATGCAAATAGTCAAGTGTTTAAATTTAGCTGGGGAAGGAGAAATTACTTTATAAAATGTGATAGTCTTATTTTCTGATGAAGGGCAATTTGTTCATTCAAGAAATTAGGCACCTACAATGTGCTAGGGATCAAGCTAGGTGCAGGGGATTATAGAATAAAGACATAGGCCTTGATCTAAAACTGCTTATATTGTAACTAAAAAAAATATTGAGTCAAATTCCCCCCAAAAAAAACATTAAAATTGGGACTTTAGGGTTTCAGGAGAAAAATAACAACATAGTAGGTATCATCCTTATGAATACTAAAAAATTTAACATTTTAGTAAGCTATTGTTAGTTCTGTAACCTCTGCTGAGATGTACTAAGCACCCCCTCCCCTTTTCTTTTTGGGTGCTAATCTAGTGCTCTACCATTGAGATAAACCCTCAACCCCCAACTTTTTAAAATGCAGGCAAAGGCCAAAGGAACGAAATGTTAGCATTAAGAACTTTAATTATAAATGTAATTTGTTTAATAAATTACCAATTTTCCTTTACAATTAGTTAATTTTTAGCAACAGAAAACCAGTTAAAATCATCAAATCAGAACATGACAGTAATGAAATCATAATGTTACTGGATAGAAAATCTTACTTTTCATTTTTTGTTTTTTACCTCAAAGCAGAAGTCTTGCCCAAGGATGCTGCTATGAAGTGGTTTTACTGCTACAGGCTCCCCTCGACCAAGATCCAGACATTCTACTGCGCTGCAGGGGCTCAACAAGGATTCATGAGAACGTGACTCTTTCAGTTTAGGCAGCCCACGAGCCCTAAATGTAGAATATATTTCAGGTAGTGTTACCTTGGCCAACAAGGAAATGAGGGTCTAGTGCAATGAAGGCTTATGAAAAATGAACACGTATGTAAGGACAAAAGTAAAGGAGGAAAAAATTAAAATTCTATAATAGTAGTAATCATATTCATATGGCACACATAACCATACAACCATGTGAACACGGACATACTTTTTTTTTTTCAACAAAGCACAAAAACAATAATTTTACTAGTCTCAAAGGAGCTCAAAGCTCCTCCACAAACATTATTTTTTAACCTCATTCTTATATTGGAAGATGCAGAAATCTATGCTATTCAGGTTATATCTCCTCTTAAAGCACTGACAAAATAGTGGTTGAACCCTCATTTTGTTTCTTTTTACTCTGACAGAATAAATACACACACACACACACACACAGTGCCAAACTTTTTAGCATAGGACTCCCTCAAAGGGAGATATCCTGATTTCCACCTCAATGTGGAATTCTTTTCTGGCAAGGTTTTACTTCTATCCATGCTTCACAGTATAAATGTGAATAACACATAAAATGCCTTGAAAAAGGTTCTCACCATGAAAAAATATGCCCAAACTCTTTCATATAGAAGAACAGATCTTTGTTGACATTGTTCAAATGTTCTGGCTGATTTTATTTCCTAGTTGTTTTAAAAAAGAATGTGGGAATCATGCTTCTTGTCACTATAGGAGTTGGTATTACAGACTTTCCTCTTGAAAGAATTAAAGGAGTGAAACAATATGAAGTATAATATTGCTGAATCCAGAACTGAATGGTTATGCAGTTTTACTCAATAATTATAGTATTTATTGACTGAAACACCCAGAATTAAATACACGTATTTCAAGTAGAAGTACTAAGAATAAAAAGAAATGCCTGTGTAAAGACATTTGTTTTTGTAAAGTACACTAAATAAACTACTTCATTCATTTCTTAAAATAAGCAGGGTAACATTAAATGGAACTGAAACACTAATGCCAGTGTAGTATTTAGTTAAATTACAAAGTTATACGATTCAAGAAACTAGCATTAAAGACTGTTCTTTCTCCATTTCTATTTGTTTCAAACTCTGTGAAATAAGAGACATCTAAAACTACCAGGACTTTATTAGTCCATTCTTTTCTCCCTAACAAAATCAACTGCCATTTAAAGATTAGGCTGAAAAAAATGTGTGTTCTGATATTCAGCAATTTTTAAAGTAAAGAAGTTCACATTATATATCCTACTAAGAAGGCAAGGTAAGCATAAAAGGTACTAATGCCATAATGTATATAAAAATATAATACTGTAATAGTTTCACATTTATTTCTCTTTGTGCTTCTGAGTAAGACATTGACATGTTTGTAGTAATGTGCTCCAAATATAGCACATCAATTATAAATAAATAAATGCTAAATTTTTTTTGCTTTAATTATATCATATAACCTTTCCCTATATGCTACACGAAGCCAGGGTGGGGCAATGGGACACTACTAACATCTTTCTTAAACAAATATAAAACAATTTCAATCCATCTTTCTCAGAAAGAGTTCCTGGAGGGAAAAGCCTCTCATGTTTTAGGGGTGAGCATTTTACCAGGAAAGATTAAGTTATATTGTAAACAGGAGGAGGTATGCCCAAAAGCTAACCTTTACTTTTTAAATTCTCCAGGAAAAGTTTTCAAAAACACAAAGTTATTTCAAACAAAATAAATGTCTACCTACATGAAACAATTGTACAGCCACCTGGTGGTGCAACCCCAAATCATAGCGATGCCACATGTCCAATATAGCAAGTCACTTTCTGAACTACATCTCAGAAAACGATTCTCTGTTTAGAAGACAGAAACCAATAGAAGATGGTTTCCCTGCTGACTTTGGTTACTGATACCATCTTTGGATACATGCTATCCACCAGGTGTTATTCAAGTCTTCAACAGAAGCAGAACAGAAAGGCAAACACTGTACAAGAGGTCATCTTCATCCAAATGCTGCAGGACAAGTAGTATGCCTTCCTCTCTTCCTTCAGGCTACATCTAGCCCCTTGGGTAACACAAACAAGGTACCTGGGCTCAAGGCTGGGCCTGTTGCCATGGTGCTACACCTATAAGGAGATTAGAGCTGGAAGGCAGCAGGAAGAAGCTTCGGCTTGAAGGACACAGAGAGCATGCTCTGCAAACTTGGCAAAGGTGACTATTTTAAAACAGAAAGGAAGGAATGTTGAAGCCCCTACCCATTTCCATTAACAGTTTTCAGTCAAAGCCGGTAGAGCAGAAACTGAGGCAACTCCGGGGGTAGAGGAGAATCTCATATATTAAAAATTTGATTAGGAACAAATCTAATTAGCTTTAGCTTGCTTCATATATGATTCTTACTCTCTCACTAGTACGTATTTCTACATTCTATCTTGCAAGTAAAATCTTTCTCTCACACTTCTGTTTCCTCTAGCTTATTGTTTCTAGTGCTTACCCATGAACTTATCTGGGTTACACATATGTTCTTCTTTCAGAGGAAGGTGGATAAAATTATTTTTTCATTGTGTTTTCAATGAAATCTAACTTCCAATAGCAGCCATAAACATATTATAGTGACTGTCTGGAATTATAACTCAACTCTTCCTAATTACTGAAATTTCAATTATTAATACATAGTTCAGAATCTCCCATTGTTCAGTATGTGCATATATACCCACATGAATCAAAAGCCAAATTACTCACATGTTCAACATTACTATTGAATAAATAAGCAAGCCCTTCCTGAATTAGGAAGACAGTGTCAAGACAGAAGTAATTCCCAGTGAAGCAAGATTACAATAAACAGGAAAATGGAGTAGCCTGGGAATGGCTCAGGGTGGTGGTGGGAAGCACTTTCTGTGCAAATATTTTGATATAAAAGCATTGGTAACGCCCAAGTCTTTACTTTTTCTTGTATCTTCATATGAATTGATTTTTCTTTAATCTACCATCTACAGAGTTAGAGCAGCCATGTGGCACCACAGTTTACTCCTCCAATGGAAAATAGAATTTAATGGGAGAATAATGAGTTTAAAACTAATTTTTTTCCCAGTCCATTCTGACATTAGGTTTCATTAAGAAACCTAATCCAGCCTCAAAAGTAGATGTAAGTCCCTCGATCCCTGGCCAGGTTCTTTTTCTGACTGAGTCCCCTAACCCCTGCACCATCAGCCTAAATACCATATAAGAATAATTCAGGGGCTGGGGATGTGGCTCAAGCGGTAGTGCGCTCGCCTGGCATGCATGCGGCCCGGGTTCGATCCTCAGCACCACATACAAACAAAGATGTTGTGTCCGCCGAGAACTAAAATAAATGAATATTAAAATTCTCTCTCTCTCCCCCTCTCTCACTCTCTCTTAAAAAAAAAAAAAGAAGAATTCAGGGTTCCAATATGACTATTTCTTGATTTAACTGGAAAATTGCTTCCAAGGGGGCAATTTTACTTCTAACTAAGGAACACCACTTACATTTCTGTTTTAATGTCATCAGCACCATGAAAATAAGGGTTAAATATCTAATTGCTTTGCTGTTGAAGATTACCTGCTACTTCTGACCTATTTAAGAGATAAACTACAGGGCAAAAGAGGCTTTCTGTTACTACTATGTTGCTTTAACCCTCATCCCTATCTGAAATCAGTCTTAAAAAAGCTAAAAGTGAAGGCTGGGGAACCAACACATCCAACAGTAGATACACTAATGAAGGAAAAGAAAAAGGAGTAAAAGAACTCTGATTAGTGCAATTTAAAATAAAACACAGCTGGATTTTTCTCAGCTTACCCATTCAATTTTTTAAAAAGCCACATTCTCCACCACCCTAGCTCCAATGATGCTTGGACTTGCTTGCTCAATCTGCTACGTGTTTACAGAATCAGTTCCAAATTTAGGAACTGGGAAACTTTTAATTAAAAATGCTTATTGCCACACAAAATCCTGGACTCAGTGCAGGTGAGTTTCTGCTTGGCTTGGCAGTTATGATTCCAGATGGCTTCACTGAATTCCAGAAGGGACAGTTTAGATAGCAAGGCAGATACAGCAACATACCTATGTTTTAACCAGTTTGTATTCCTAAGGCACTCATTTTGTTTGAAAATTTCCCAGGTAGTAATGAAAAATATTCAGTATCAATAAATTTATACGTAGTCCAATAAGGTTTTAAAAAATTGCACTGAGATCTTATTTGGGAAAAATGTAATTATACCTGCTCTCCAGATTTCATTTTTTCCAATCAGGTATTTTGCAAAAGTAAACACTGTAAAAATTTTCCTCCCTGGACTGGGGTAGAGGAAGTAGGGCTCATTCACAAGAGTTCTATTGTGTACTAAAAACCGCATCTTCCCTGAGGATTTCGATTTATGGTTTATGCACTGCAGGTAAAGCCAGTATAGTGTCCCTGCTGCTCATGTTACTTGCTGATTTTTATGTTAGCTTAAAAATATACACCACATAAAAAACTATTTATGGAAGCACAGTCTATGCTGCAGATCTTCCTCTCCCTGCTCTCAGCCTCCAGACAGGATGGTCTAATGAGCTCAGCTGCTAAGGATGAAGAAAGACATTGGTCAGCCTGAAATTGTCACTTAAAGTGAGCAAATGCATGGTAAGAAAATTTGTCATCACAGAAAAAAATGATATCCCATGTACATGTAATGAAGGTGAATGTAAGGAGCAGGATTATAAATATTAAAACATGTTCTGGGAGTAGAAAATTCTACTTTCCTCCAATATGACCGACATTAGGGAACAAATTCTTTATAGAAACTGCACTATATTATAATATGCTTTTTTTGGCTCTGAAGTTGCAAATGGATTAAGATCTACTAGTACCAATTATATAAATTGAACACAACTATACTGAATTAAAAAAACATGAAATCAAACTTCACTCATAATCCAACTCAATGAACATATTTAAGAGTGAGTGAAAAGACTTAATACTTTTTTCTTTTATTGAATTTAATTGCTAGAGTTTTAATTTCACTATTGCCTTAA